TATAGGTGTGTAAACTCAGCAAAATATTCTAAAATACAGCAGGTTTTAAACCCCGCTGGTGCTCTTGGCTTCCAGGCTCTGACTCTGATGTCCACAATGGGCAGTACCTGCATTTCTAGGGTGCGGGAGGTTCCTAGCCCCATTAGCTCTTTCTCACACTGCCCTGCATCCTGCCCTGCAGATGCCCCGCCCACCACACAGGGAAATCAAAACCCTAACATCCTCGCTCTGGCCCTGCCCGGCTGGAAAGGCCGCTCCCAGCTCCTCTTGCAGACACCGCTGAAGGCAGCATCAGGATTAAAATTCTTGGAAGTTGGACCCGTGATTTGGGCAAGTTCTTGACGCAGGGGGGATTACCAAGCCTGTGCTCCATTCACAACAAAATGGACAGGTGGAGATGAGGCCAATGGGCTTTTCTCTACAAATGTTGTCAGAGAAACTTAGACTCTAAGAAGAAACCAAAAAAGGAGTTCAAATAGTGGAAAAGACAGGACCAATTTGTGCTTTTAAACTCACGTGGGTTCAGCACGGAAGGTCCCTCAGGCTTTAGTTCAGAGCCCGTGGGTTTCTACTTTTGCATACAATGAGAACACACTACAGCGTCTTTCTCTGGCGTCTGGCTTCTCCAGATAGCCCTGGTGAGATCCACTGGTTCAGATTTAAATCCTCCTTCTCTGGTATAATAAGAAATCACATAACTTTTGGAAGTCACATACTTCTCTGAGCCTCACCATCAGTGAAGTAATAGTAAGAAAATAATAATAGTAATAGAATAATAATGAATGAAATAATAATCCCTGCTTCAAAGGTTGTTAGAATAAACTGAGCTCCTACACAAAGGCTAACTAGTATAGTCCCCTAGTCCATGGCAGGAGCTCAGCAATCTGTAGTGGCTGTTGTTCTTTTGTCTGTCACAGCTCTGTGTGTGTGTGTATGCACACGCACATGTGTGCTTCTCAGTCTAGACTGTTAGCCCCTTGAGGGTAGGATGTATCTGGCCCGTCTCCATGTCCTCTTGCTGTACACAGCCCAGGGTACTGCCCCTGCTCCCTGCACCTCCTGGCCTTGGCCCTGGCTCACCTATGGTGGTGATGGGATGACGGTAGGGCATCAAACCAAAGCTGTACTGGAAGACACCACGGCCGTGGAAAAGTGGGAGGGAGACGCCCATGATCTTCTGCAGCTGATTCTGGATACGGCGCAACCAGGAGCCAGAAAAGTTCTCAACCTGTTTAAATACTTCATTCTCCCCGAAGGAGAAAATGGGTACCAGATCTGCACTAGGTACAGAGGGAACAAGAGAGGGCATAAGCTGCAAGGTCTCCCAGATTCCTGCGGAGACTCAGTGACCAGGAATTGGATCAGAGAACAGCAGCCAGGCTGGAAGCAGGGGGCCTGGATTATCTCCCAGACTTGCCACAGCTCCCTCTCTGAACTGGGGTGTCCCTTCAGGCCTACAGCTTCCTGCTTACATCATGACAGTAGCCCAGGGTGCTGCAGACAGTACTCCCTAGGATCAAACACCTAAATTTCTTCTTCTTATATTTTAGGAAAGGGTCTAAAGGATGTTCAGGGTCTCACTACTAGATCGGACTTGTAGTAATCCGCCTGTTTACAGCCTCTCAAGAGCTGGGATTATAGGCACGCGCTACAACACCTAGTCTCAATTGCTGGCTCAGCGTGCCCTGGGAGCGGGGCCGGCACAGCAGGCCCAGGAATCGAACCCCTGGCCCCTGTGCCTGCTTGCAGGCACTTTAAATCGCTGAGTATTTGGCCTGCCCAAACACCTGAATTTTTGTTCTACAAAAATGTCTCCCACCCTAGCTGGCTCATGATTCTCAAACCTGCTTCACTTCAAAGTGGGAGAACATCTCTGTTGTATTTCTCAACCCCATTTTTCCAGATCTTGTTAGGCTCAGCTCTTGTGCCAGTTTAGGGGAACAGGTCCACTAACAGGACTCACTGGGGCCCATGAGTCCCACGGAGCACCGAGTCTCCCTTACGGAAATTTCTCTAGGTTTTTTGGTGTGAAACAATAACATCTTCATTGTAAGTGGGCCAAGAATCTCCCAGCCACAGCAGAATCTGTGTTAGCCTTTGCTACTTTCCCACCAAAAGGTAGTCCTTGCCAACCTCCAACTGAGCCAGAGTGCCATCCCCAGAGGTGCCATACCCATAGGTCAGGGCAAGCCTGACAAAGCCCTTGCGATTCCGCAGTAACAGCATGTGGGTTCCAGGCCTGGCGTCTAGTGCCTCCTGCGCTCCCCCGATGACGATGGCCAGCAGGTTCCCACTGCCCTTCCTGCTCAGAATGTAGGCAGCACTCTCCTTGTCTGAGGTGACCAACCCTGGGGGAGAAGAATGTGGGGTGAGTGAGCAAGACAGTAAGAGTAGGGGTGGCCCAAGAATGAGATCACCCATAGGGTAACAGAGGCCGGGTCCTCCATGGCACCCACTTCAGGCAAGAGTCTGCCAACCCCCTCACCGGGCTCAGTGCCCTGCACAGCACTGCAGGGAGTTCTTTGGATCCAGCCTCCTTCTGCACTCGCTTCTGGAAGAACTACAGAACCACTACAGCCCTAAAACGCCCTTCTGCCTGCACCACCAGTCTCATCTTTCTGAGCTGCCCTAGCTAGCAAGACTCACCCGAGCACATGATGTAATCCCGGAAGAAGGGAGCTCGGAACCACAAGTTCAGCATCATCAGATGGGGGTGGATGCCGGGGAACAGCGAGGAGAAGCCCGTGCTCTCAGTGCACAGATTGAGGAAGGCTCCAGTTGCCAGGACCCCATGGGGGTGGAAGCCCGCAATGTAGTTCCGGGAAGGGTCCAACTCTGCTGTCTTGACCAGCTGCAGGGACAGCAATCTGGTGAACCTGACCAGGACCTGCATGCCAATCCTGTCTCAGCCGCCCACGGCACCTGACAAGGTGCTCTCCCCTGTGTGCCTCAGCATCTTCATCCTGTCCAACTGCCCTGGCTTCTGATGCAGATGGTGACTCCACGGTTCTGGCTGTGTCACAAACTTGGTACTGGCTTTGGGCAAAGTATTTCCCTCTTGGGCTTCTCATCTATGAAATGGGAACATTTAGTCCTGTGTCTGCTCTCTCCGAGAAGCTCAAGTCGAGGTGCTGGAATTACTGAGACTGCCAGATGGGATGGAGCCAAAGGGTCTCAGGAGCTACCATGCAGGGAGAGTTCCATTTTCACACCATGAACGAAAGACAAAGCGGCCCTTATCCCGATTCTGGCGTGATTACTGCCATGCCTCTTGGGTCTCGCCCTATGGCTTTCTGCTCCCCCCAGACCTTCTCTGCCTTTTGTTCTCTCTTTCCACTTGCCCTGGTTCAGTCAGCCCTATGGCGTGGAGGTTGGCACAGTGTCCACAGGCACTGCAGATGGAGAGGGACAGAATCTTGTCGTTAGCAGCTTCAAGGTGAAGTGGATGGAAGGAGAAGCAGGTAGGAACTGAGCTAAGACACTGCTTGGATGGGCTGGGTGATATAGCTGAGTCTGTAACGACCCCTGCTGGAGACCATGATTCTACACACAGCTGAGTGTCTCCCCAGTCAGTGCCGGGAACCAGGAGCTTTTCCCCTCCAGTGTCCTGCACCCTAGGAGCCAAGGCCGCCTGAGCAGAGAGGGTCCCCAGTCCCTGGCCTGAGCTGCAATCCCGGGGCCACCAGGCCTGCCAGGTTGTGCAATCTGTACTCCTTTAGGCCCAGAGGCAGCCTGTAATTGAGGCCCAGCTTTGCCAAGGTGAAAGTTCTCCCTGGCAGCAAGCTGAAAACGCTTAGCTGGTGACTCCCTGAGGGTTCTTGTGGCTACTTTTGGGCCCTCAGAGGCCTTATGGTCCACCCTGAGAGCAGCCTGTAGGCAGCAATGGGCCCTGGGCCTGTCTACCCATTCCAGGATGGACAGCTCCACATTCTCCTGTCCTTGACCAGCGCTTAATCTCTGCAAATCCCCCCGACTCCATTATGTCCTCCAGGTTCCCAATGACCCTTTGCAAGAGGACGGTAGGGACCACCACCTTGCCAGGCAAGGACAAAACTCTTACCCCTCAGGCAGTGGGACTCATGCTAGTGATGGAAATACAGAGACCTCTGGTTTTTTCACTGGGAAAGGTACTTATTCAGGACCACATCTTGGCGTTTAAAAATATCTTGGTCTGTGCATCAAGACACTTGAACATAAATTTCCATTCTCTGCTAGTGAGAAAGAGGTTTGATATTTTATTTATTTATTATTTATTTATTTATTTGGTATAAGGTCTCACTATGCAGCTCAGACTCATAATGATCCTCCTGTCTCAGCCTCCCCAGTGCTGGGATTACAGGTGTGTGCCACCACACCGGGCTTCAGTGGCCAGTTCGGCATGGGGCCAGAATGGTATGCAGTACCTGGGGTCAAACTCAGGTCCTTGCACTTGCCAGGCAGGTGCTTAGACCACTGAGCTATCTCTCAGGCCTGTAAGAAGGAAGGTTGTACCTCCATGAAGATCATCTGATTACATGTATTTCCAAAGATGAAATGATTGTTTCAGTCCAATCACACCATTTAGCCTCCAGAATTTAGCCTCCAGAATTTCTCCTACCTGTACAAAATAACCACCAGAAGTACCATCTTTTGGCAACATAAAAAGCCTTATCACTCATATGCCTATCCCTCAGCAAGGCTCATATAAACAGAGTGGGAAACACACACACATTTAGCCGCTGGGGTGGGGGGGATCACCTCATCCTGTCCTGGAGGAGAAAGACAGCCTCATAGCACAGGAGGTGAAAAAGCAAGGAAGAGTGAACTGTCACACCTGAGGGGAGAAAGGGAAAGTTCATTGGCTGTGTGGAGCTAGCGTAGTCAGAGTTGGTGGATGCAAGACAGGATGGGACTTTTCATACCTACCATTTTGTCCCTTTTCAGATTTCCAACAATAATGTGTCACTACTGTAAACAAACAAAACAAGTGAGTGAATGAGCACTGTTCCTTTAACAAAGAAAGCATTTGTGTACGGAGAAATACGCTGGTGACGAGAGCACGGGTGAGCATGGGGCCACGTCTGAGCAAGCAGGCCAGGACTGGCACTTGTGTCCACAGGACGTATAGAGGGAGCACTGTGCGTGCCTCCTGAGGTGCGGGCGTGGCGGGTATCCTTGTGCCCTCCCTCTCTCACCTGCCCTCCACTCCCAAGTCTATCATGCCATGATTGTGAAGATAGAAGCCTGAGTTCAATGCATCTGAGTCTCCCATGCAGCCCTGGGACAGAGGAGGTGCCCTGGAGGAGCCGGAGAGAAGGAACACAGAGGTGGCTAGGTGGCCACCTCGGAGGGATGGCACCTGACCACAATCTCATCCTGCCACACCATCTAGCTCCACCAGCTGGAGAGAGAACCATGGGCTGGGAGTCAGAAGACCTCGATCTGCTCTCGGCTCATCCCGGGACCTTTGCTGGGCCTATCCCCTTCATGCCACAGTTGTTCCTCTGTTTCACAGGACAGTCACAGGGCCTCCTGATGGGGTTGCTACAGAGCTCAGCTGGGTCCATGAAGAACAGGGGAGCTGGCGAGTGACGTGGCTGGTGCCCTGCTTCTTCTGCAGCTGATGCCAGAGGCAGACGCAGCCAGACTGCTGGGCTCTAGGGGCTGCTATCTTTAAAACTGGTATCATTTATATACCATAAAATTCTCCCTTTAAAGCGCACAATTCAGGCCACTTTTAAAAGACTGTGCAGTCATTACCACTAATTCCACAGCAGTTTGAATACCCCAGAAAGAAACCCAAATCTATTATGGGAGCCATTTTCTTCCTCCCCAGTGCTGCCAAATGCTGATTTATTCTCTGTCTTTGAATTTGTCTATTCTGGAGATCCCTACAAATGGAATCATTCAATGTGTGGCCTTTGTGTCTGGCTTTTTTCACTTAATGTCATGCTTTTGAGGCCTGTGTATGTCTTAGCGAGTGTCATAACTTCACTCCATGTAAAGACCAATATTCTGTCATATGCATAGACCACACTGTGTTTGTTCACTGCTCGTCCATGGACGTTTGCAGCCGTCAACGCTTGTGTCCAGTCTTCGTGTGAACGTGTTTTCGGGCCTGGATGCTTCCTTTAATCCCCAGATGCTCCTCAGTGCCTGCTCAGAGCACAGCTCCAGTAGGGCTCTGCCTTCGCTGCCCAGCCCCGTCTCTCCACAGATGACCTGTGCCTTCACACACCCTTGGGATGCCGGAATGGTCTGGATGGAGCCTGCTGCACTGAGTGCTGTCTCAGGTGGCACAGGGTACCCGCGCTGTTGGCTTGTTAGCACTCACCATGGCCCTAGGGGGCCTAGCTCTAGTGTAGCCCCCCTCACAGTTCAACATACTGGCATGCAAAAAGGGTAAACCCATAGGAGATCTAAGTTCCATGGTCCTCTGCCCAGCGCAGAGACAGCACAGGAGCCGGAAGCCTTTGCTTTAGGTCTAGGAGACAACCTGAGCCTCAGGGCTAGGTTTGGAACTTTCTGGTTCCAAATTTGTGAGGTCCAGGGCTCTAGGCTCCTCTCCTGAGACAAGGCAGTTTTTGTGTCATTAGCTGCCTCTCACTGCTACAGGTCCTGTCATGCACTTAGATTACTCGGCAAGTTAAAATTGGCCAGCAAGCAGCATCTGACTCAATATCCTAAACACATAAGCAGGGGAGACCTCGGTCCTTCCCTGTGTCCTCCCAGCATGACAAGATGGTTGGATGAAAAGGCTTCCACTGCCTCCCTGGCCTTGGTCGTAGCTCCCTTGTAGGCAGGGGTCACAATTCAGCCTTCCAGCTTCTTAAGGAAGTTCTCAGCCCTGCCCACCATCTCACCTTGCCACAGCCATGCAGTCATTTAAATACACCCTCTAACAACTATACATGCTTCCTCAGTCCTCACCTGCACCTATTCTCCTAGTCCCAAACATTTTGAAATCAAGCTGCATTTTGCAATCCTCATTAGTTTTATTTCTCTTAATGGTACATAGTCTGTCGTATGATGTACAACCTAGGACATTGCTGAATTGAAGAAATATAGCCGGTGCCAGAGGCTGAGCCCAGGGAAGAGTGCAGAGGGTGGGAGGCACTCTCAGCACCTGCTCTGTGCCGGGCATTTTTCATGCACCTACTTCTTCATCCTCATCACCTGGGAGGGAGTGCTACCCTAGGCCACAGATGAGGAAACTGAGACACACAGCAGGCGAAGAGGCAGAGCCAGGGTGTGAACCCAGGTAGACAGGCTCCAAGTTCACAGAACGAACACGCTCTGCTCCCCGCAGGCATCCATGCAGGCAAGAGAGTGGGGCTTTGTAATGGGCATCAGTACAGTGACAAAGGCTCATGACTGGGGAACTGGAACAGCAAAGGGCAAGAAGCAGCAGGTGAGGGCCCAGGTACTGGGGCTTGCAGGCTGCAATAATAAGCAGGTTCTGTTCCAAGGAGGACTCCAGGGAGGAATTGAAAGATGCAGAGCCCAGAAAAAGAAATGACAGGGGCCAGGGGCTCAGGGTAAACGAGAAAAGATGAGTCTTTTTTTTTTTTTTTTTTGAACCGGGGATTGAACTCAGACCCTTGCGCTTGCCAGGGAAGCACTTATTCCACTGAGCCATCTCCCTGGCCCAAAAAACATGAGTCTTGAGAGGAAGTTTAGGATCCAGACCCTAGGCTTGGGCACTGATTATCAATCATGGCAAGTCTGTCAGCTTCTACCCCTGGATAGGGACATCTGGTAGCACCTGCAGGTAATTTTGGCTGCCACAACTGGGAGAAGATGGTTCTGCTGGCTTGGAGTGAACAGACACTGGGGCTGAGGACAGTCCCCACAACAAAGAACTAACCAGTTCCAAATGTCAAGGATGCCAAGACCTCCAGGAGAAGTAGGCAGGTGGGTGGACTGGTGTCCTGTCCTGCCCCACGTCTGGCTGTGGCAGTAACAAGCATGCTGAGAACAGCATTTCCTGACCCTAGGCCATAGACCTGGTCACAGATCCAGCTCCCACCCCCACCCTAATGCCCAAGGCCTTGGCCCGTGTAAATCGTGATGGTGAAACCTCCGCATTTCAGGGCGCTGGCCTCTTGGCCAACTCTGGGCTGCAGTGGAGCAGCTCTCCCCACTCGATGCCTTGCCTGACGCTACCTCTAGCTCTTTCGGAGGCTGAGGGGCCACTTTGGAAAATTTGGCTTGGAATTCCACCGCTATTAGCTAGTTTGAAAGTCACGGCAAGAACTCATGGGAGCTCAGAAATTATCATGGAAGGGCCAAGCACTAGTGGCAGGAGAGTGCAGGGTGTGGGGAGCTCAGCTGCGCTGGGGCCACCAACCTTAAGGGAGTCTGGAGGCCACAGTTCGTCCCTGCAGGCGCCCTGCTCAGAGAAGGTGAGCCGTTCTGAAAGCCACCGGCCCCCTGCTGGCGGCTCGCTGGTACTGCGCATGCTTGCAGAGAGCAAAAGGAGTGCAAGCCTGAAAAACCATGCACCTGGAAACAACTCTACAGAGCGAAGATTAGGGACACTGGCTGGGGAAGGAGCAGAAAGGCAAGTGCTGCCGCCTCAGCACCCCTTCCACCAGCCTTGGAGCTAGAAATGCCCCATTTGTAGACGTGGCAGATATTATCCTTTGGCACTAAGGCTACGCTTCCTTAGGGGAACCCTGACTTCCTGGCACAGAATGGAGAGGCCTGACCCGGAGAGATGAGAAGCAGGGAAAGGAGTTCAGGCTCTCAGGGCTCAGAGGTCCAGGGTGGAACAAGGGACTCTGCCCGTGACACACCCTGGCTGCCCTTGGGACCTAGCAAGCCCTGACTTGACTTTGCTGACAAGATGCCAGGAGGGGCCCCGCAGAAGAAGCACATGCGAGGGTGGGACAGACTGCCTCCACCTGAGACCCCCAAGCTAGCCACACGCTTTGCCCTTCAACACCATGGCACCTGTGACCTCAGCAACCCAAGCTGGCCCGCCGCCTTGCCCTGCCCCTCCCACTTGGCCTTTGCCCCGGAGGCCCTACTCACTGGGGTGCTAGGGGCCATAACTGTCACCCAGATCGTGCTAGCCTGTGTGAGGGCCTAGGACTCTTGGAAGCAAGGCAAGATACCTGACTTTAATGCCAAGTTTCATGACTCAGGCAGTTACTTAATGTTACTCTGTGAACCCATTTCTTCCACTTCCTCCCTGGCTGGGGACCTAACTCCTGAGGGGCAGGAAGATGTGGGTTTTGTGGACAGGCTGAGAAAAGTCAGGTGGAGGGGCAGGTTCCAAGTCCCTGGAGTCCCCGCAAATGCCATGCGCAGGGTCCCTCAGTTCCACTAACTCTATGAAATAATACTGTACCAGTTTCCTGAGGACAAGTGCTTTGTCTTCTTTGTGTCATTAAATAAATGCTACGCAGGAAGATGCGTAGAATTATTTCCATTTTACATATGACAAAACAGGCTCAGACAGACTGTGTCACTCACCCAAGGTCACACAGCTGCTATATGACAGACCTGATCGGAATCTAGTGTGTCAGATTCCACAGGCCACATTTCACTCTTTGCCTCTCTATTTCCAAAGGAGGGCCAGCTGCTCCTACCTGGCCTCTCTCGTGTCCCCAGTGACTTTCATCCTATCCTCTCTGGCCAATAAAACTTTTGCTGCAGGATCAGATCAGGGTTTGGTCTGTCTGGACTCCACTGAAGAGTGTGCTCACTCAGGTCTAGGGCTCTAATTCACAAAGAACCAGGCTTCGAGTTCAGGGCCTGGAATGCAAGGAGCCGGAGAACCAGGAACCGAGGGCGGTCACAGTGGGAGGCTAAGGCTATGCACTTGTTCCAGAGGGAAACTGAGGCTCTGAACTTCCCGTTGGACACATAGTAGCCAGAGGCAGGGACAGGGTAGACCCTGAAGACAGTCCATGGCTCTTTTGCCTGTATCCTTAGCCCTGTCAATGCAGACGTCAATATGTGCCAGAGAACTTGCTGAGTGACGCCGGCGCCACCCGTGTCCTTCTCTGGGTCTCACCTTCCTCCTCTGAGGTGTGTAAATGATTTCTTAAGACCTGCAATTTATCACCTTTACTCCAAACCTGGGCTGCTCACGGATTTGAGCCATTATAACTCATGCATGGGACATGACATGCCTCCCAGAGCTCATTCAAATCCTCTCGCTGGCCCCATGTTGCTGTTCTTGGGAAACCATGGCCAAGGATTAACTGGTCCTTTGCCCCAGCCACATGGTGGGGAAGCCCAGGCTCCTTCCTGCTCCTAGCCTGGTGCTCTGCACATGGGGCCACACGTCCCTGATACACGGCAGCCAGCGCCCTCACCCAAGCTAGCCCCGTACTCACCGAGACCGGGAAGTAGTCCTTCATGTACTTCCATATGGTCCAGCGCCTGAAGGCCTCGATGCGCCTGCCCCCCTGCCTCGGCTTGTCTCGGTCCAGGAACCACCACACGGAATACAGTACACTCAAGAGCCAGAACCTGGTGAACAGGAGGCCTACGAAGAGCCCGATGCAGATCTGGCCTGGGAGGAAGCAGAGCATCGGGGATTGCCAGTCTGAGAAAGGCAGGGACACTGCCCAGACCAGACGTCACTATGATGCCAGTGCTGGCAGCATGCTCCTGCCCAGTCCTGGCCCACAAAGGAGACAGGGTGCTGGAGGGTACATGGCCAGCCCAGGGCCACCGGGGCAAGGGTTGAGCTTGTTGGCTGGTTGGTGGCTTATTCCAAAACCAAGTCCTCCACCCCACCTGGCCCAGCCCCCCATGAAACTCTTCTCTGACCCTGCCACAAGCGAATCCTGTTTCATTTGAGGGTCAGGTGGCCTGTGGAGCCACCCCTAATCTGATGCCAATGGGGTATGAACCCCAGAGAATATCACACTCACCACACTATTCACCTCATGCATTTTCCCATTTCATGTTTTTCCCAGTTCAATGCTGGGAATTGAACCCAGGGCCAAAGGTGTGTGAAGCAAGCATTCTACCATACCTCCATCCCCTGCACTCATGTATGTACAAAAGGCCAGCTTTGGTAGTCCACTTGGAAGTAGGGAGAACTGGGCCTGGCAGTCTTTCTGGAAGAGGTGACTTTTGAATCGATTTGAACAGTAGCGCAGGCTTAGAAGCCAGAAGAGGAAGGTCAGGGCCCACAAACGCTCACTGTGTGGAGTGTGACAAGGTGCTGGGAGCTGGTCAGCCAGAGCGGGCCAGTACAGAGGCAACTTTCCAGGGTTGTATTTGGGGCGTTCAGTTTTTGTCTTGTTTTAAATTTTTTTTATTCTGGTAAAGTATTTGTGAAATAAGTTTAATATCTTAATCATTTCAAAATACACAGTTCAGCGACATTAAGTACATCCATACTGGAGGGCCGGCCAAATAGGTCTGCTGATTAGAGCGCCTGCAAGCAGGCTCAGGAGCCAGGGGTTTGATCCCAGGGCCTGCCTTGCTAGCCCCGCCCCTGGGACACACTGAAACAGCGATTGAGACTCGTGTGGTGGCGCGCACCTGCAATCCCAGCTCTTGGGAGGCTGTAAATAGGCAGATCACTATGAGTCTGATCTTGTAATGAGACCCTGAACACCCAGTAGACCCTTCCCTAAAATACAAAAAAAAAAAAAAAAAAAAAAGGACATTCGTACTTTTGCAACCAGCACTACGATCAGCCAACCAGAACATTTTTAGTTATCCCAAGAAGAAATTCTGTCCTCATTAAACAAAGTTTCTCATCACCTGCTTCCTCCTGTCTCTGGGAACCACCATCCTGTTCTCCTCTATAAGTGGGATCACACTTGTCACCTCACATGAGTGGGATCAAGCAGTATTTGGCTTTTTTGTTTCTTGAGCCAAGGTCTCACTAGGTAGTCCAGGCTGGTCTTGAACTCACTATGTAGCCCAGGCTGGCCTCAAACTTGTGGCAATCCACTTGCCTCAGCCTCCCAACTCTTGGGATTACAGGCAGGTGTGACCATACTGGGAAGTTTGCATCTTTTTAGAATGACTGACTTCATTCTGCGTCTTTTCAGTTCATCTTTGTAGCATGCTTCACTACTTCCTTTTTAAGGCTGAATCACATTCCAGGGCAGGTATACGCCGCTTTTGTTTATCCGTTTAAGCCCTTGATGGACATTTCAGTTGCTTCTACATTTTCCTTGTTTGCAACTATTACTGAAGTTTTTATTAATGAAACATAGGGAGGCTTCCCATATGAACGCAGAAATAGGCGTCTCTTGAGAAACAGGAAGAATGGCAGCTGGAAGACTGTGTTCTCAAGCAGGTCCTCCTGCCACACACCCCAGCCCCCCTCCCAGCCTCAGCTCCCGCCCTGCACTAATCCAGCCTCCATCCTCACAAGGGTCTGGATCTCTCCTGTGGGGAGGGGCACAGGGAGGAGCCAAAGCAAGTCAGATGTTGTTTATATTGTTTGTCTTAAATGTTTTTATTTATTTATTTGGTACAGGGTCTGGCTATGCAGCTCAGACTTGTAGTGGTCCTCTTGGCTCAGCCTCCCCAGTGCTGGGATTACAGGCATGTACCACCACACCTGATTTCAGTGGCCAGCACAGCGTGTTCAGGGTTCTGGGGCTGACTAGGCATGCAATACCAGGGATCAAACCTGGGTCCTTATACTTGTCAGGCAGGCACTTAGACTACTGAGCTATCTCCCCAGCCCTAAAACTACATAAATTTTAAGTAAATGTTACTTACATAGTAAAGTCATATTTTTCAAAGTATATTTTATTTTATTTTTGTATTTTAGGACAGGGTCTCACTGCATAGATCAGATTTGTAGTGATCCTCCTATATACAGCCTCCCAAGCACCACCATGCCCAGTCTCAATTGCCTTCTGAGCACCCCAGGGGCAGGGCAGGCCTGGGGATTGAACTCCCCGCCCCTGCATCTGCCTAAGCAGGTGCTTTAATCTGCTGAGCTGTTTGGCTGGCCCTTAAAATATATTTTATATCACATATTGAATGAAAAAAAAATGTCATTCATGAGTAATTGGAAAGAACACTTTAATGTATCCATTTTCACCAAAGGTAAATAGAAATCCTCAAAATAACTTGCTTTATGCTACAATAGTTTAGGCCACTTTGGAAATCACTGTGGAGCTTCTTTTTCTTTTTTCCATAATTTTATTGAGAAACAAATAGCAATGAGACAGTTTCAAACCAAATTGGTAGGACAGTTTCAATAATTAACACATTGCT